GACTTCTAGCCCATTACTAGGCCCATCCTTACCTGTACAACTGAATCAAATTCGTAATCCATTAAGAACACACCCTCAGGCCCAAGTCTAATACCAATTCCAATTTGGGCCTTAAACAAATCGAAAATAATGGAAAAATTATCTCACACACTGGGAGGAGTGAAGAGTACCAAATCACAGCGACTGTATTTTGTGTCTGCGCAGCAAAATTTTCATTGATTGGGGCGATTTGTTCCGAAATTATGTGTTAAATGTTGAGTGATTTAATGGTGGGAAAGGGATGAACGATCCAGAAATGCGCCGTGAGATCTCCGTTTTGCTCCAGCCGAGGTGTTTGCTGATTTTATTGGCTGTTTTGGTTCTCATCTTCATCGCTTCTTCATTCTCTCCACAGGTGAAAATCCCCCTTTATTTTGAAATTTTGTTGTGTTCGACAGTGGGTGGTCTCTTGGATTTGATGTTTTATGGGTCTGCTTTGTGTTTTTGAGGATGATTGAGCTGAATTTGCGATTGTCCCAGTTCATCTGCTGTAGATCTGATTGAAATTTATGTTTTTTTTAGCAAAATTGATATGTGGGGAAAATTGAAAAATATTGAGTTCTTGTGGCGTTTGATGAGAAGCTCCTCCATTTTGGGGATCAGCTTAACAAAGTAGAAGAACTGTTCTTGAAGAGAAAATAAGTCAGTTCGGTTTGAGTTGTACAGACTACGGACTACAGAGACAAAGAGCTATGTGATTCACTGCATTGGATTGGCTGGATTGTATATTTGGAAGTTGCTAATAGATAAGAAAATAAAAGATTCTAAAATGGGCAGTTTTTGAACAGTGAGATATTGGGTTTTGGAACTTTGATCGTTTTTCGTTTTTTAGCAATGCGAAACGGTGGTAAACGAATGTAAACGGGACTCTGTAAACGAATGTAAACGGGACTGGAGAAAAATTGTGCTAGCTAATAAATCATATTTCAGGTACATGTGCAACAATGTTGGGAGAGAGGCGATTCTTGTGTCTATTACTCACTCCATTTGCTTAGTCATTTTGGCTTAAAAATATTACGTTTGTCGTGTCCCGTAAAATATCTTGAATTTGAGGCATTGTTTTTTCCAATCTGTAACATATACTGCCCGCCGGGAAAATTTTTATTTTATTTTTCTAATTTCTTTCCATTATATGTCCAGGAGCTCGAGAAACCCGAAGAGGTATATGAGATCACGCACAGAGTATTTTTGGATGTTGACATAGATAAACAACGTATAGGTACAGACAACAGAATTTATATCGAAACCATACAGTTTATTTTGTTAGAATGAATATAGTTTCAAGCCAATTTTCAAATGCATTTTGCACGGTCTGTGCAAGACTGTGCTGTGATTTGTATGTATTCTAGTTTTTTTCTGGCACCATTGACCTGTTCATTTTCCATTATATTGTACTATTTACAGGGAGGATTACAATTGGATTATATGGTCAAGTTGTGCCAAAGACTGTGGGTAATATTGTCTTGTTGTCTCCTTGAATTTCTCCATGAAGATTAATTTTGTACCATTTTCCACGAAAATTTATTGATTTTTGCTCCATTCCTGATTTGGTTAAAATTTGTATTGCAGAGAACTTTAGGGCTTTGTGTACAGGTACTTTTTAAGAACTGATAGTATCTGAATGCATTCTTGCCTCTAACAATCTCGTTCGAGATGGGTCTTTTTTTTTCTGTTTCATTTTGTTAAATTGTCTGTATTCTTGATTCAGGGGAGATGGGGAAGGCCTCGAACGGGAAAGTACTACACTATAAAGGAACCCCATTTCATCGTATTATACCAGGATTCATGATACAAGGAGGAGATATCGTCTCGGGAGATGGCAAAGGAAATCAATCGATATATGGTGGCACTTTCCGTGATGAGAATTTCAAGTTGAAGCACTCACACCCAGGTCTTTAATCGCCTTGGATTGTGTCGTTTTTCTTTTTCCCCCTTATTCTAGACAGTGCAATTTAGCTACAAGAATATATCTCATTTGCCCTTTAAATTTACAAAACTCCCATTGAAAGACTATAAATAGTTTAATATTAAATACACACTAGAAAAATAACTTGGATATTCTTTTTTTTTTTTTTTTTGCCAGGTGTTGTGTCCATGGTGAATTCAGGACCTGATTCCAATGGCTCACAATTTTTCATTACAACAGTCAAAGCTTACTGGTAAATTAATCATTACATTTTAAATATTTTTACTTTCAAATTCAAAATCATCCACTAAATCTATTTTATTCAAAATAACTCATTTCGCAGGTTGGATGGTGAGCATGTTGTGTTTGGCAAAGTCATAGACGGCATGGATACTGTGTATGCCATTGAAGGGGGTGCAGGGACTTATAGTGGGAAGCCGAGGAAGAAGGTAATTATCACTGATTCTGGAGAAATACCGAAGAGCAAATGGGAAGAAGATAGCCGAGCCTCGACAACGTAACAACAATAAAGTCTGCAAGATTTTTGACAAGTTCAACTTAAAATGATCTGGTTAGAGTTTTCTTGATGTGCATATGCTTTCTGTGTCGAAATCGGTACGGAAAATTTGACTTGGAAACTAAACAATTTTTATAGTAGTGTTGTGCCTCTTGTGACTGTGTATTATCTATCAAGAATTTGTAGCATCACATATATGGGGTTACTGTAGAAAGAAAGATGAGCAAGAAATAGTTGGTACTTTATGGCTTTCTTTGAAATGAGAAAAGGATATTTTTGAGGCATGCTATCGATTAAACAATCATATTTTTTCAACAAATATGCTTAAATTGAAATGTCATACTACACAAAACATCAACAAAAAGCAGTATGACATCTCATATCATTAGGATGCATTTTTGTGGTACAAGTATGTCGAGTCGACTTGCTTAATGGTTAGGCAGGTTTACACATGAATTTGTGGAGTTTGTGAAAGAAAAATTAGGCTAATTGTCAAGAACAAGCATAATTGAAGGACTAAATCTTAAATGAGTAGCATTTACTAGGCGAAAACAATTTGAAAATTGCGAAACAACTTTTTTACGCATGAGTAGGGCTGCAAACGAGCCGATCGAGTCAAAGCTCGACTGCTCGAGTTTGACCGAACTCGAGCCCATATTTTGCATTGTCGAGTAGCTCGTCGAGCGACTCAATATATATTAAATTACTAAAATACTCCTTATATATATTTAATAGTTAACACAAGTACTTAATGGTAATTTCACTTAAAAATTATCTAGTCGAGCTCGAGCTATTGTATTTTATATTTTTCCCCGACAACGTCGCCAAAATTTGACCGCGCGTCGCAACGCGGCAAAATTAAAGTTTATATTTTTCCTCAACCGACTTCTACTAACTAGTAGTAGTGGCAAGTAAGGGTCGAACCCACAGGGAGTGTGAATCAAATTGTGGCTTTTTCGTATTAACTAGTACAGATCCCGTGCGATGCACGGGATGCACAAAAGTCATTTATCAAGGCTTACAATTATATAAATGAATAAAGAAAAATGTACGGGATATATATAATACGTGACATGTAATAAAAGTGAACACGGGTGATGCACGGGGTGCACAATTTTAAGGTCATTTATTAGTACAGAGTCCGTGCGATGCACGAGGTGAACAATTTTCTAGTATGTGTAATACAAATACATACTGTATGCACGAAACAGAAGCACTAAATGAGTTGTTCTCACAGAGCTTGACCGTTAAGTAGCTCATGAACACGGGTACACAATTTGCACTACGTACCATAAAATCAGAACAGATTTTCATACAATTAGATAATAAATTAGATAATAAATAAAGGCTTTTTTTATTTTAGTAAAGATTTTACATACTTTTTTATTTCCATCCAATTTTGTAGGATGCATTAAATATTGATTAGATTTTATATGTAAAATAAAATTAAAAATAACTGGAATAGTTTTACGTATTACAATATTTTATATTTATAAAAATTAAAAAAATCTTCTTTTACGTATTGCATACCAACATTTTAGGAACTACATGGATATTCCTAAATTAATATTGCATACCCAATATTTTAGGAACTAATTAAATGCTAATTTGATTCGCATACCAAAAATATTAGATGCATTAATTAAATGCTTGATAAAAATAGTAAATCATTAATTAGGGTTGACTATTCTACACACTACATTTAGTAAATAGTATAGCTTTTAATATAAGTATAGATTGAAATTAAGAAAGCAATAAATGAGGGGATTGGATTAATAACTAATCGATATAAGAATGAAATCTAAACAATGAAAATAAAAATAAAATAAAATAAATAAGAGAATTTTCTAGTTTACGGTTCCGTCTACACCCTCGACCGACTCGTCTAATCAAATTGATATCAAATCTCGCTATCTTATGGAATTACTAGCCCTAGGCAACGACACGGTCTGTTACCCAAATTTTTCCTTATTTTTAATCTAACCGCGAGACGCTCTACGATTAGACCTGACTTCTTGTACAGTCCAGAAAAAGATTTAATACAATTAGCCGCTTTACGAATTAGAAAAATAGGCTAGACTAAATAGTGAACTCAACCACGTTCGTTCACTTAAATAGGCCGTGTTATCCCCGGTAGTTACCATCTTCCGGATACCACCTTACGAATTAAACACATCAACAATTACGAATTGAAAGTCTAATTCAGGTGTAGATATGTAAAGCCTAATCTAGGTGATCAATTTAAATAAGACTCAACACATCATGGTTAATTATTCAAAATAACACAAGTAATTCCAAAAAGATATTAAAATCATCAACCACGTAAATCAATCAAACATCGTCAATAGTAGGGTTCGACATCCCCGAAACTAGAAATAAAAATCTAAACTACCATAATAAATAAAAAGGAAAAGAGAAAGAATAAAGTTGTCCTTCTCGTGTGCGGTGCGGCCTCCCTCCGCGATTGCTTTTCTCCGTCTCTGTCCGAGCGGCTTTTCTTCTCCTTTCTGTTCTCTGTTTCCAGCGGCTCCAATATAATTCTCCTCTGTGCCTCTGGATGTCGCGTAAATATGCCTGATGGCTGCTTATGTATTTCAAAGTGTTCAATCTTCACATTAAACTCATTCAATCTTCACATTAAACTCATGCGTATGGACTTTGTATTCAGACAAATGTCACCATGGGCCCACTAATCAATATAGGCCTTGATTATCAATATTATGGTGCACAATAATCCAACTTCGACGTACCCTCATTTGTATTATTACTCTAATATCCTGAAAATAAATCATAAATATATCATAGTATTTAAATTTATCTAATAAATAAACAAGTCAGAAAATATATAAGTGCGATAAAATTAAGCATATAAAAATACGCTAATAAATATATAAAACACACACTTTTCCCGACCAATTAATTTTCTTATCGAGTCGAGCTCGAGCCTCATAAATCGAGCTCGAGCAGGTAAAAAAAAAATTCAATCTTGCTCGATAAGACAATGCTCGACTCTCGTCGACTCGTTTGCAGCCCTACGCATGAGCTAGCTAGTTTACTAATCTGATCATTGCCATATATTCTAAGAACCCTAAATTCTAGTTGTGAGCTACTTGAGCGGGTTTGAGTATTCACTTCACAATAATTAGTCGAGCTACCGACCTCAACTAGAACCGGGCCATATAGCTGTTGACCCATTGAATTGGTCAAAACCGGCCCGTTGGAATTAAAAACTATGCAGTGTAAATATTTTGGACGTACAAATTATTAATTTGTACAAATCAGTTTTGACATTTGCATGTGTAAATTATCTCAATATTTAATCAATGATGTTTAGATGTATCTATTTTTTTATTTGATGTATTATATAATGTTTTAAATCATTAATGAATACATATTGATTCAACTCGCTTGATGACCAGCCCGATTTTCGAAATCTTGGCCCGAGTGTAGATATGTTATTACTCATTCACTCCATTCTACTATTTAGCAATACTTCATTTCTCCATGTCTTTCCTTTTTGTGGCTCTTGTTCGCACACACATGCACTTAATTACTCTATACCTATTTTGTGGTTCTTGTTCATACACACATGCACTTAATTACTCTAATACCTATTTTGTGGCTCTTGTTCATACACAAATTTTCTATAAATTGATTGATAGCTCTTGTTCAATAGCCCACACAATACTCAACACAATGCAAAACACTAGTACAAAGGCCAAATACGCATTCCTTGTCTCGTCGCTACTCTTCGCAGCAACTTTCTTAGGGCCAAGCATTGAGGCCGAATTTCCCAACTCAAGCAAATCGGGCCTTCTCAAGGAGAAAATCACGAGGCTTCAGTTCTACGTACAAGATTGGACAGCGGCGAGAATGCAACCGTTTGGATCGTGGCCTCATCCGATTTGACCCAAGTTTTGCCATCGGCGTTTGGGCTCCTGAGCATGCTGGACAATCTGGTGACGTCTGGGCCAGAGATGGGCTCGGGGGAAGTGGGCCGGATCCAAGGTCTTATTGGACAGGCGAGTATGCACGAGATGGCTCTGGTTATGCTGGTCAACGTGGTTTTCACGCACGGGGTGTATAAGGGGAGCACCTTAAGTATCGTGGGGAGGAACCCACTGAATGATGAGGTGAGGGAAGTACCCGTGGTCGGGGGCACGGGGTTTTTTCGAATGGCGCGAGGGTACGCGCTTACGACTACGTATTCTGTGAACGAGGCTCACACGCACGGGGTTATCGTGTATGATGTGGAGGTTTGGCATTTGGATGGCCAATTTGCATTAGTGTCACCTCAATGAACGTTTGTTTATAATGTTAAAATGAATTGGAATATCAAGAAATAGATCCAAGATGTAATTAGATGTAATTTATTTTGTATTGAATTAATAAAACTAAATTAGTGATTGTTGAATGTGTTTTTGAAGAGCTTAAGGATCTATTTATGTTAGTCAAGTAAGGTTGTAGGAATTAACTAATATGATGTAGCATGTAAGTTAATGATGTGTGTGAAGGTGATGATGATGATGAAGCTTAATTATTAAGAAGCGTTCAAGTAAAGTGTGTTTCTTGATATATGATGATTGGTTTCTTCATAAGTCAACTTATAAACAAATTTTCCATCGGAGCTTCCAAAAGTAGCTGAATCGCAAAAGTATGTTCGCCGGTGTTACGCCATAAGTTTTTAAGAAGATTATTTCCTAAGGTTTCCTAAGATTATTTTTTGCCCATATTCACCCTTATTTTCCTCGACTTTTTTAAACGTATACGATTTGACTTCAAAACACGATGGTGCAATAAGAACTCAAAATTAGTTAATGACATCTTATTTTGTTAGTATTGGTGAGGGAGGTCACCGT